GGCAATTATTATAAAAATACTTAAACTGCCCAAAAACAAATTTTGTCTAATAATTGAAGTTTATTTAATGTGTGCAATAGAAATGTAAGAACAACAATCTTGCATGAATTCATCCACAGATAAGTGGGACTCATAGTTGTCCATGATCAACAAAACTTTATTTTCTGCAGAACAACAAAGTATTTCAAAATTTCTAGTATCTAAGTATCTAAGCAAAGTATTTCAACATTTTCAAAAGGGTAAACCAAATCAAGTTATGCTGTATCTGAAATAAATTATATTTTCCATTAATTAAAGCAATACTAATTAAAAGTCTAAACAGGTGGAACGACATGACCTGAAACACATATGATACCTGTCTGTGTAACCAGTGCTACTTTTATTTTAGGGAAGTCACTTGACACTGCACTGTGGTTTCCCCAGTTTCATCTAGGTTGTAAATCTCGGACGGTCTGAAATAGTAATGTTTAATAACATCACAAAACTTATTTTGAAAAGCTAGTACTATTGTTAAAATCATTCAAGCAAGACTCGCAACTTTGTATTAACAGGTTAGGATAACATTTCATAAATTATGAGAACTAATAGAATCCCCAGATTTCCATTGTTTCTATTTTTGCAGATCCTTTACAATTTCTATCAGTTAAACATTGCATAGCTTTAGGTGTAAGATAATAAACATTAACAAACATTTGATTAAACAACAAAATAGTGAAGGTTTCATAGACAGAAGAGGAACTTTAAGAAGCTTTTAGAATATCTTAGATAAACTTTTCGAATGTTTTTAGAGTATCTTTCATAAAGGAAATACTTTTTCTAAAATTTGTTGTAAAATTAATAGCTGCAATAATATTCTGATGATTTTTCTTATTAAATAATCATCAATCTTAGTATGCTATCACTATATTTAGCAGCACTTATTTGTTCTTTTTTTTCCCCGCCTTATTCTCACATCTTTATGGCTTCGTTCACCGGCTTTATTCTCACATCTTTATGGCTTCGTTCAGTGTTTTCGACGAAAATGCTTGGCTGCTAATTTTACTTATAATTTCTATGCATCTTTTTTTATCTAAAACAAATAATATTTTTTGAAAACATACAAATTAATCATAGCAAGAGCATATAAAAAAAAAATAATGCTTAAAACCATTCATTCAAATACATTTCTTAGAAATGTATTTGAATGAATGAATGTTCAAACAAAATAAAAATATTTTAAAAACAAACAAACACAATACAAAGTACTAATAGAGGACTGAAAAGAGATTTTGGGCAGAGTGTGTCTACATCAGTGGGATTAAAAAAATGAAATAAATTGTTAAAATAAAATCTTTATTTTATAAATTCTTAGATTTCTAAATGTCAGCAGTTCTTTCTAAAGAAAATCTAAATTATTAATAATCATAGTTATGAAATTCAAAAGTTTAAAAAAATTCAGTTCAATTCAAAAGTTAATAGCCAATGACCAAAAACATTGTTCCATTTCAAATGTATTTTTCTGCACAAGAAACTGTAAACGATTTACACTAATAAACTATTATAAAACAAGGCTGCAGACTTTATTTAAAAAATAACTGTTCTGATGCTAACAGGGCAGCAGATTTATAAGTGTCCATTGTCTCGTGTGACCTAATTATACCACAAACTAGCCACCTTCTATTAAGAGTTCAATTTATGCAATTCAGCATGTGTAACTTATATTATGTTTTGGTCTAAAGAAAATATTAGTAAATTTGTTGTCCGATTTTTGCAGCTGTAGAAACTCTCACTAGAACTATAGTACTCAGACTAATAGTACTTCCATGTTGAGTACCAGATTCTTCGGTGGTGAACGCAAAGTGCCAGATTCTTTGGTGGCAAACATTTTCATAAAGGTTACTTTGATGTTGAATCTTGTTTGTTTATTATCAAGATGTTTATTATCAAAATGTATACAACTTTTTTAACTTTTTAGCATTCAAATTGACTGTAGCCATGACAATGACATGACTCAAGACTTGAAAATATATTCATTTTTTATTTTCTTTTGCTGTGCATTTTTTATTTCCTATTTTTACTTCAACAGATAAACTTAAATCTTTCACATTTAGTCCTTGGCAATGATGACATAATGAAGGGACATCTATAAAATACGCCAATAAACTTTTTGAGAAAAAACAAATTTTTAAGGAGTTTAAAGGCAGAAACTTCTCATCAAATAAACATATTTTATAATATGATTTAACAAATTTAGTTTTAAAAAAAATAATAACAAAGCTACACACTAAAAATCTTTTTTGAATATCGAATTGTTTGAAACTAGAGATGTGTGCTTTTTTTTTAGTTCTTGTTTTTTTTTTTAAATCACTATTTTTCTTAATATTAACACAGAAATAAATTAAAATTTATTTTTTAATATTTATTATGTAAAACTAACATTTTTTTATATTAGCATACCAGGGCTCAATTTAATTGTCGGACATTGTCCGACAATTGTCCGCCCCCGGAATTTTTTTTAAATCTGATTTATAGAGGCAACCAACCATTGAAACCATTGTTCATTTTTACTAAAAATATCAACAATGATTTGTTGCCCTCCTCTAGCAGGTCTTAAAAATGGTCCGAGGGGCTGCAATGTCCGACCGTTGAATTGAGCACTGGCATACTGTTTTGTTGTTTAAATGTTTAAAAGTCGGTTAAGAAACATAAGTGCCATGCTACAAGAACTTTATGTAATTATATGAATGAACTAAATGAGTCTATTTTATTTGTAGCATTCATTAATAAAAAATATTTTTTGATTGCAACTTAATACTATATGAGGATGATACAAAGTTGCCTAATGTCAAACATAAAGATAATGTTAAATTATTAAAATTAGATTTGAATAAAGCTATTTAATGGTCAGAAGTGTGGTTTAAAGCTGAATAAGTGTGAAGACATGCATTTAGGTAACAAAACTGTTAACTATGAATACACTATGTAAATCAATGAAACAAACTTAGAGATTCTGACTTTTTTTCACTTCTAAGTTGAAATGAAAAAATCAGATAGTGGCTAGTAACTCAAAAGAAAACAGAATGACCGACTTCTTACAGAATATGAAATGCCAGTTTTGGAAGAAGTTAAACTGATAAATGAACTTGAGCTAAAAGCTAATCTAACAGAAGAAAAAAAAATGCAGATATGTCTATAAAATAGCTAAATATTTTTCTAGACACAATTTCTTATTCAAAAAAGTTGCTCCTGCTAGGAATATATTACCTAACAATATAATAGAATAATTTTAAAGATAAATTTGATCTATGACTGCAGGACTTTGATTTTATTCTATAAATAAAGTCAAATAAATAACAAAAAGTTGTTTATTTTTGGTTGTTTTATTATGTAGAAACTAATTCTGATATAAAAAACTTTTTTTTTTTCTAATTTTCTCTTAAAATTATAAACTAATGTATTATTTAATAAAATGAATGAAATTTAGGTTATTAAAATTTTTTTTTGCCAAGTATTGTGCAACTTTCATATATATAATACTTTTTTATAGTCACTTTTCTTTTTTAGCTTTTTCTGCTTTTGCATTTTTTTTTTCTTCTGTTTTTTCCTTTTATTTCTGTTTCCCCCATTTTTTTCAGGTTTTTTCTTTTTTACCTTTTTTTTTAAGTGTGTTTAATTTTGTATTTGTAACTGTCAATATTATATTTCAGAAAGTAGTTTATTGGTTAATCATGTAGTAAATAATATGATAATCATGTGATAAATAATATGATAATCATGTAATGATCATTAAAAATGTGCCGGAACCAGCTTATGCTGAGTCCCCAATTCAGGGTACCTGGAAGAAAAAACTGGGTCTGAGTCCAGGTGCCCAGCACTGATTCCATGTTAAAAAGGTGAAATAAAAGCTTGAGAAATCTCTGTGCTAAATTGTTTTTTCACAAAACAACACTGATTAATTTGCGCTAATTAAGTTTGTCTAAATATATCAAGTTTCTTAGTATTAAATAATTACTAATAGGTTGTTAATATTTGGAACAAGGGGTCGTTCATAAAGTACATATGCTTTTATTTTGACTTCCCCCACCTTCCACCCCCTCCACATTTTGATATACACTTAAGTACACTCCACTTCTCTAAAAGTACCTTTGCTTTTAAACTGCCTACCCAACATTTTATGATATTTTTTAAATTTAATATCTCCTTACTTTTATAATTGACCCCTGCCCCCCATCTCATATATGCCATATGTAAACCTCTCTCCCACATCCGAGCATATGTACTTTATGGACAATCCCTAACTTACCGTATTACATAATTAATGCCAAAATCATCAAGAGAGCTTAAAAATTAAAATTAACTCTATTAACTTCAAAAAATACTGTTCCGGCTAACTAATTTTTGCTTTATAATTGTGATATTGTATATAATTTTTTTTTTTTTGTAATTTATTGCTTAATAATCGCTTATATGCGCTAATTAATCAAAAGTTATGCTACAAACAATAAAAGATTAAGAGAGACAGAGAATTGCAAAAAGAAAAAAAAAAAAAAAGAGTAGACCTTCTCAACTGTAGTGTGAATAAAATGAAAAAAAAATATTTGTGAGACACGTCTATATGTGACACGTCTTTATGGAGTAAATAGGTTTTGTGATTATTGACTTCATGATTGACAACACTCTTAGACTTATATCAAGAAGTTTGGTTGAAGTTAAAACTAAAAGCAATCCTGTTAATAATATTTTGACACAATTCAAAGTACCACTTAAACATATCTTTGTTATAAGATACTCAGTGCCGGGTACTGCAAAAAAATGGCCGATTCTGGGTACCTGGGAAAACAACCAAATTACCGGGTCCAAGCAAAAGTATTGTAACTGTTTTTCACTAATAACTGAATTATGAAATTATCTTAGAAATTATAATATTTTGATGTTGTAAGCAAATTTCTAATCAAAGGAATCATATTATTTAGTAACTAGGTGCAAAACTTAATAATAAGCATTAACAGTAGTATACTGGAGATAAAAAGAAAACATCTGCAAGGATTTTATTGAAATGATAAAAAAATGTCAATGGAACACGAATGGCAATACATATTAGGAAATATTTTTAATAATTACAAATTTTTTCAATGATGACATAGTTATGCAAAAAAACAACAACAAAAAACAAAAACAAAAAAAAACATGACATCGAGTAAAACAAAATGTAAAAATTGTAAAAGTACAAATGTCACAATTTAACATTTTAACATTCAAAAAAACATTCAGAATTTCTAAAGTGGTAAATCCTATTTAATACATGCAATAATGTGAAAAAGTTGGTATCAACATATATGAATTTTTTATGTTAAATATTTTGTCTAAAATTGCAGTCTGCTGTTGAAATCTTTTATAACTTAGAAAATAATGATAATCAAAACATAGTAAACTTGAACGAAAAATTAGGAAACAAAAATGAAAAAACTATTTGCTAAATGAAAATTTTTTTTGCTATACAGAAATTCATATGGCTGCTAATCTATATGACACCAAGTATTAGGAAAGATATTTAAATAGCAAACAAAAGACAATGTAGGCTAATAGTAACTTTTGTTTATTTATTTTTTAACAAAGTAAAACCTTTTATGTAATATCTTAAACTTCTTAACAAATTGATACACATGAAGTAATCCATACAAATGCTTTAAATTTGCTTAATAACAGCAGTGATATTTTGATGTCTGATTAAGCTAACTATTGATGTAAATGTAAATTATGGGTTAGTGGTGGAGTGCTCTTGCTTTATAAGCAAGAAGTTCCAAATTCAATACCTACCACATCTCTGGTAGTTCTGCACTCAACTTATTTCTCTGCACAGTGATCTTCTTTGTCAATGTTTGCATTTTGGAGTTAAAGAATTGAGAGAGGGTTGCAACAACAAAAAAGTAACTTCAACAACTGTAGCAACTCTCTAGGCCTTGGGAAGGTGAATAACATTAAAAGAAAGGGGGAGTTTTTTTAAGGACAGTTATTGACTTACCATTGGCTTCAAATTGATGAAAAAGATAATGTTCATCAACTGAATTATTAAAAATAAAAACATTCTTCAATTTTCTGCTACAAGCTTTCTGCTTTCAAAAGAAGTTATAAAAATGACAAAAGATCAGGAAAATTTTTGTATTGCAAAATTTAATAGTTGAAGCAATTGGTATGCGTGCAACACAACAAACTGTAATCAATAATAAAATATTGAATTTGTGGAAAAATTGAAACATTAAAGATTTCAGAAAGCAACACATATACCAGTATTTGACTAAAAAAACTCTTTGAAATGAGTACCATGTTTGCTCAGTCAATTTCAAAACAATAAACATCAAAAATTTAGAGAACTGTTTAATGACAGTTAAAAGGATTATTTTTTATGACTATTTAATAAAAGACAAAACATTGATTTATCACTTTTTGCTAGGTGGGTAAAGATACCCAAGGCAAACAATAACGCTGCAACAGCAAACAATAATCTTGATGTTAAGACTTTGACTATTAAATTTTTGGATGCCCATAGCATTTTATTTATGATTAACCTAAAAGATGCAGAAGCGTCAATGGCTCCATTGGTGCATTTAAAGAAAGAAACTCCAAAAAGACAATATTTTGAAATAAAACCTTTGAATGGATGTGTTACTCATGAAACAGCTATGTTGATATTTGATATATATAAAATGTTAAACTTTTTAATTTGAAACAAAATGTTCTTTAAAGTTTCAAACAAATTGTTCTTCCAAACAATTAGCAGAACTGATAGTCTCCCCTTATTGTAAAAGGTGTTAACCAGTATGATCATTGGCAGTGATTGCATGTCAAATCATAATTGCTGGACACAATGTTTAACAGAAGATGCAACATTTGATATCGGATTGAAGCGTGAGTTTGATGGCCAACAAACATTGTCTTTGTGTGTGCAAATTGCTTAACTTGTGCTTCGCCTGAAAACATGGCATGTCACTAAAACTTAATTATCCAATCCTTGTGGTCTTTGTAAAATTGAGGCAATTACAAATATTTTTTTTAAAAAGGTGGCTTTAAAGCAGCTCGGTAAGCTTAAAAATTTAAGTCCTTGGCAAGGTGTAAAAGGCAGTTAAGTAAGGATTTGTCCAATACCCTTCACAGCTAAACAACATTTTATTGGTTTTATAAGTCATAATTCTTGGTCTTCTACACTATTTTCCAGGATTAATGCCATCTGTTTAGTTGATGTACTAAATGATATCATAAACAGTTGCTTTGGGCATCTTCAATTGAGCAGCAGTCCTTTGTTCAGACTTGCTGTCTTGGGTTTATACTTGTGTATGTTTAGCAGATGTCGTAGCCATACTCTAAGATAATAATGATAGAATTACACATGATTTCAATATATATGGAGAATTTGAGATATTTTCCTATTGGTTGATAACTACACAATCACCTATGAAATGGGTGATTGTTAGTGTGTTGCAACCATGCATATTTTGAATTAATAAGTAATTATACATAATAATTATAAGTGGCCTAATCTTTTTTGCCAAAACAGGAAGAAAAGTTTAATCACAATAATCTAAGTTAAAAAAATTTTTTGAAAATTTAAATTGTATTTTTAATTTATAAACAAATAGTTGTTGGTCAGTGACACGCAAAACAGCAAGCAGATAAAAAAAAAACCTGATTCAAATTTGTATTATAGTGTTAATTTGAAACTTCAAGGTGAGTACCAAGTGTTTAAATGCATATAGTGAATAAGAAAAAAGTACTATTATCTTCAAAAAATTAAATCAATTTTTTAATACGTTAGGTGCAAAAAATTTTTTCAAACACATGTTCATTTCTGGGTATGTCACTGACCACAGTTGAAAGCATGCCTAAAAATATCACTAACCATCATCATCTTTAGAAAAAAATCTTATTCTAAAACCAGATGCAAATTTTTTTCCATGAAATCCCATTTCTTGACCACCTACCGGAGAACCTTCTGCATGACTAGACCAATATATTTCTGGATTACCTGATGGTGCAGCTAAAACATTTCACACAGCATAAATATATCATTAAAAAAAAAAAAAAACACATACACATATATACATATCAACCCTTGGAATTAGGAAAAATGAGGTTGGCAAGTTTACCTACCTCAATCATTAAGAGGTCGGCAAAAAAAAAAAATTGATACAAAGTCTTACCATAAATCATAGAAACGAGGTTGGCAATTTTTTTGCCAACCTTAAACACTTTTAGGTTGGCAGATAGGATGGCATTACCAAATGCCAACTCTAATCCCAAGGGCTGATACACATTAGGAGAACTTTTATCTATTGATGCTAATAAATTAAAAATATGTGTGTATAAATATGTAATACAATGGCAATTACATACATACATGTGTAAGATAAATTTAATGTTCTTAACAATAAAATTTAAACCTCATAATAAGATTTTTTTAATAGTAAAATAATTTTGACATGTATTATAATAAAAATAATGATAATTTGCCTAATATAATTTCATGCATACGTGTATACATGCATGCATACATACATACATACATACATACATACATACATAGATACATACATACATACATATATACATACATACATACATACATACATACATACATACATACATACATACATACATACATACATACATACATACATACATACATACATACATACATACATACATACTAACAGAACAATATCTGCTTATAACGGCTACAACAATCCTACTTATTTAAAAGTAAAATGTCAAATAAAATATAACTAGATAGAGCTTACTGCATTGAAAAGGCCTTGAGTAAGCTGTAAGTTCATATCCAGAATGAGTTTTTGATGGAGGTATAGAAACATGAAAAGCAAGTTTAGCTTCCTTCTTTTTGGTTTTCCATGTAACAGGCTCAATGCCTCTGTCTCGCAACTCTTTGTCTGCCTCCCAGTTTCTTATTCTTCTTATGCTTAATTGATCAAATCTGTAAATGAAAATCAAAAGATTAAAAAAACTAAAACTGAAAATTAGGATTATTAAATTAAGATTAATTAAAACTAAGAAAATTAATTGAAAATTATGAAAATTAGGAGATTAAAACCCGAAATTTAAGATACAAAATCAAGAATAAAAACTGTCATTAAAAAATGTCAATTAAAATCTTATGGAAATATTATAAAAACATACACTGCTAACATTTCTTCATTTCTGTCAGTAGGCTTCATAGTCATTTGAATGGCCTGCACTCCATTTGATAATTTGACTTCTTTGCATTCAAACTTACTTGATCCAGGACCTGTAGCAGTATGTAAATGTGGCTCATTATCACGTGTTACAACAAACACTGTGATTACTGCCTCTCCAACATAACCATTAATCTATTTTCAAATATAAAAATCATTTAAAAAAGAAAAATGTTAATAAAAAACTTCTTTTTTATACATTTTTTTTTAATATAGTAATAGTTATTGCTGTAGTTGAGGAAATGTTTGAGGGGATGTCTCCCTATCCCTAGTCTCCTTTCTCAATTATTTTTTTAGTCATGAGAAAGTGATGGGAATGCCTCTAAATATCTCAAACCAAACTGTGAAAGTTTACCTTTTCACAGTTTGGTTTGAGATTACACATCTTAGTATAATTAGAGAGTTAGTTGTTGATATTTTGAAGTTGTTTACAATCAAAAAAGCATTCTTGTACAGTACATTAGTATTTCTTTAAAATTTAATGGAGATTTTTGATTCAATCATTTAATTTACTATGTTATGCAAACATTTAGTTACTTTAAAACAACACTTATAAACAATTTAAATAACACCTGCCATACAAAATTTATTTTACTCATCTTTTGGTTTATATACACATTACTTTAAGTTTATATACACATTCCAGAACAAAAATATATTGCTGTGATTGGTCTGTTTTCAGTAAAATAGTGTTTTGCTTATTTGACACCCTATAAATTGTTTTTAGGACTTACCTGAGGGAGTAACCAATAATTGTTTATTTTTTCTGATAAAATCAGTGCTCTCGTAATTAACTGCAAAAATTGAAACTCTCCCCACTCCTAATTTTTTTGCATTTAATCAATCATATACATTAGCAAACACAATTTATGTTCAAATTGAGTATATTTTCAAAATTAAAACACGATGTTTCGCTGTAATTCTTTAAAAGTTTTTTTTAAATCCAGCCATTATTGGAATTAAAATAAGCAATCAACATGTATAATTTCATTTAAAAAAAAAAATCATATTAAAAATACATTAAAAAAAAAAAAAAAATGATACTAATGCTATTGATTGCTTAAAATAACAACCACTGCAGCGGATTTTAGCTTTTTTTCATACTCTTTGTGTCCTATGGATCTTTTACAGTTGACCCAAGTTTTTAAAATGGCAGACAACTTCACCACACTGTTCTGCATAGCTACCTAAGCTATACTATTGTGTTCTACAAAAGGAAGAAAATACAATATGTATTTTCCACGAAACTTTTAAATCATAGTGAAAAAAATTTTTTGTATATAGTTGGAGACTAAAAAATAAAGTTTTCAATTAACAGAAATGTTTGTACCCAGTTCTAAACTGAACGCTACTGATTTCACTAATGAAAACTTCACCAAACACCTATCTGTAAAATATCAATCTTTGCAATTAAGGCAACATGCCTCAAAAAAATTTAACATTGATACTAATCTCTAGTATTGTTTCCATCTAAACTAACACCATGGTACCCTCACTTAGTATGTAATGTGTTTTTAATCAGATAAACACATAAAAGCAAAGTACAAAGTTTATCCGCAACTCCCAACATAATGTGGAGCTCAGGTGGAAGGATATGGCATTTAAGAAACGTTTCTTGATCTTCTTCTAAGTATATAAAACAAAGATTTATAATATTTTGTATTCCTGCATTTTTAATCTTTTTTTATAATACATATTGATTATAACATAAGTCTATGGAGCCCAGTTTCAAATTCTTAGTTTCAGTGCTTTGAGGGAGCATTCTCATTCACAATACAGAATATTTGCCATAGTAAAAAAAAAAAGTCCAAAAAAACAACTTTCACACTTTAATTCAATTGCCAGACTAAAATTCACTCTCTCAAGTTTAAGGGGTGCCAATAATTTTTCAAGATTGTTGTCATTCTCTATAACCATCTTCACAATGGCAAGAATAAACAACAGATGAAGAATAATGATTTTTTAGATCAAAAACATTGATGATAACTTTTAAAATATTTGACCACCATCTATAGATATTCTAACCTTTGCATTAAAGTTATCAAAACCTCATTCCTCAATTGTAAATTTGATAAATTCTGTTGTACTTATGACAAAAACGATATCGCTAACAACAATCTGATCACCGTCGAAAAGCTTCTATGTTTTACATTTATACAAATTATATAGTTTCCTACAGTTTGGTCACTTTAATATTAATGCTTGATTCTAAACTTAAATTTCTTTTATTTTTTTAGATAATTCTAAAACATTTGCTTAACAATAGTTTGGAATGAGATATGATTTAATTTCTTTCATTTTGACTTTCATTAACTCCAACTAAACTAGAGAGAAGATTTCCGTTTGTACTACAAATAAAAATATATATAAGTGGCAAGTTGTTCATGTTGTCTACAGGCTGTAGACAATATAATATTTTGTGTATTTTTATGTTCCATTTTACATTTTAGCAATCCAAACACTATTTGTTCTGCATTTTTATATCCAAATGATTCACTAATATCTATAAAATTGCTTACAGCTTTACCTTTGTAACAATCCTGAAATTCTACCTAAAATTAATAGTGAAATTTTCATGACTTTTTAAAAAATAGTTTGCATAAGAAATAAAAATAAAATTACATAAGAAACAAGAAAAATATATTGAATCAAACTGTAATGTAACATAAAAAGAGTGATGGATCAAACAATTTTTGGTGTTTGAGATAGCTAACTTCCAGACATAGAGCAAACTCCAAACATTTATTTATTTATACTTATGTCAAATAATGATATTTTGCAATCATTATTTGACATAAGTATAATTCTAATTTGTAACCCCCTCAAACTGGAGGAGGACCCCCTCAAATTGGAGGAATCAAATTGAGGAGGGTTTAAACTTTATATGGTCATAATTTTTGAACATTGAGAGATAATACTATGAAACTTAAAATTTATTGATGAATATAAGTCTAGTTGAGAATAGTAAAAAATTAGGGCTTTATTGTTCCCAGCCTCCAATCATCACAACTTTTTGCAAAGCATTATTATTTGACATAAGTATAAACATACATACCTCAAACACCAAAAAATGCTGGAGCTGTCACTGAAAGAGAGATATAGTTCAATTAAGATTATTAAATAAAATCATAATTTATCCATAGCATAGCGTCCACAGATTTTTGACTCTGGCTCGATATTTGTCTGGATACATAGTAGTAAAGGGTTTGTCTAATAGCAAGCCTTCCCAGGAAACGCTTGCGATTGCCTGCCTTGTGTGTTTAAAGTAACTTTTTTAGACACACTGACCACAGCAGTTTTGAACTTTTAAAGCATTTTATTTAAACAAACTAGAAAAATTTAATTTAAAAAAAAAATTTTTTTATACATCTTTTTTTTAATATTTTTTTTAGTTGTTATTTTTAGCTACCGAACTCGATACAAGTTGAGGAAAAAAAACATATTGTATTTTATAACAATTTAACAACAATTGAATGTTTTGATATGCAATTTATTCACGATTTTTATCAGCTTGTATAATTAAGAAACTAATTTGCTATGTACACTAAAACTATAAGAAACTTCGTTTTTTTTTTCTTATGCTTATTTGTTTACATGTCTTTTGTGTTTGAAAAATGCTTTTGCAACACTTGCCATTTTTTCTCAATACTTTTAAAATAGGAAAATAAGAAAATGAATTGCAAAAAAAAATTAAATAAAAGATTAGCGCAGTTTCTTTTATAAATGTATTTACCACATTTGATGCCTGTCTAAAATTGTCTCCTTTATATTGTCCCATTTCCAAGATTAATACAAATTACTAGAGATGATGAACATAATGATTGCACTGTTTAAAAAAATGTATTTCATAATTTTTAAATACATTATTTTTTAGGAGCCTATTTAAAACTTTTAAAAAAAGTTTTAAATAGGATCCTAAAAATTTCATTAAAAAAGTTCAGTAAATTAACAATGCACTATCATTTGGAGCATTGCAATAACAATAGTTCATCATGATATAAACTATCGGATTTAAATGCACATTTGGAGAATCCAACAAAAGTGCAGACTATTTCAATTGGGGTAGTGAAAACAACCAAATATTTTATATTTAAGCATTAGTATTAATGGCTTTATTTTTTTTTACATAAAAAACTTGTTGAAAATTTTTACAGATAAATAGCAATTAACTTTTTTGCTATCCTGTGCATTGATAAAAACAGTAAAGTTTAGCAAAGACATTTGAAAAATGAATTTCAAAATTGTCCATATTTCTAGCGCAAATAATAAAGTACTTCCTAAATATACTGACTGACAGAAGTCGAGAATAGATTGTATATCAAAAAGTATTGCTTTTTTATTCTCAGTTGTTTCTTATAGCTTTTTTTGTTGCAAATCTTAAAACGCTTACTTTATAAAAATGTGGTCAAGTTGTCTAAAAAAATTACTTTAAACATGGATAAACAAGGCCTGTGACGGCATGCTCTTCCCGGAAGGCTTGAATAGTGTATCTATTTATTATATTAAATAAAAATATTATTCAATATCAAATAAATCCAGAATTAAAAATCCAGAAAGTTTAGGTAAAATATCTGGAAAAATCCAGAATATATTTTTCTTTATTTTTGTCTTAATTTTGCTTTTAGCTGAATTGTTTCTAATTTTTTTCCAAACTTTTCTTTATTTTTCTATGAGTTTAGAGTGAAAAAGCTTAAAAAACAAATATATTACAAAAATTTATACCTAAACTTGTGTGTATAGAACATGTTTTGGTTATCCAAAAAAATTAAAATGCTGCAAAAAATATCCGGAATTCCGGATATTTTTTATATATATATCCTGAATACATTTTAAACACAAACTTAGACAAACAAGGGATGTACTACTAGGGATGTGGTAGGGATCTAACTCAGAACTTCTTGCTTACAAAGTGAGCATTCTATTGCTACTTCACTACTGCATTGTATTATTACTTGATTGAGTGGAGGAGTGCTTTCCACTTCCTAGAATTAAAGTCCGGTTTTAGGCAATTAAATCTGGATTTGATTGCCTAAAATGATTTAATTGCCTAAAAATATTAAACTCTGGTTTTACATTTGTCTGGATGCATAGTAGTGAAGAGGTTTGTTGAATATTTTATATATATATATATATATATATATATATATATATATATATATATATATATATATATATATATATATATATATATATATATATATATATATATATATATATATATATATCTATATATATATATATATATATATATATATATATATATATATATATATATATATATATATATATATATATATATATATATATATATATATATATATATATATATATATATATATATATATATATATATATATATATATATATATTAGGCCGGATCATAACTTAAAAAAATTTGGAAAATTTCTTTGGGAATTTCCAGTAATTGGCTCTCAAATACGCTGAATGCAATGCTGCAAACCGTTTTTCGCTACTACTGCTATACTTTGCATTTTTACCTTTGAAGTTTTCAAATAAATTAACTTAAAAACGCTCATTTGTTACATTATTTATTGATTGAATGTATAATAAAATTCAAGTTATTTGAACAGTCAAAACAATATATCATTAGCAAACGTTGATTAGAAACTATACTTAAATGTTCTTAAATTCAGATTTTGTGTCAAAGTGAGGCATCAACTTGCGGCGCTCCAGTTGAACGCGAATATAGCCATCACGATTTTCATGACCATAAACTTTGGATGCTGATTCAGTCACAATTTTAATCACACGTTGATTGTGACATGGAAATGGCTCAATGTCAATAACTATGTCTTCAACTGACGAAAGCCATGCCAATATTTGTACAGTTGGAATATGTTTTGTCAGAACAGGTTCCAAGCGGGGCTGTGTTTGCCAGTCAATCAGTTCTTCATAACTAGTCGCTTGAAATCGTATCTCAGGGAGTTGAAACTTTCGATTTGGTATGTCATCTACACAAGCACGAAGAATTCTCTTCAACGCAAGCTTACGGATCACTTGACGGTTGTCTTTGAGCATAGCCAGAATAATGCTCTCGATATGAGCCGGGTAGCTATTGCGCTTCAAAACTTGCTGAACAATTATTCGATAACGCACAGGAAGAAATCGTGATGTTTCTATCATTTTATAATAGTGTGGAGCAGCATTCCAGCAGTTTGAATGTTTCTTAATGTCAAACCAAACAACCGCATATGAATTCACAATAAATTTAGCCAAAAGTATTAGTTCATTTGATGGATCTTCAGTAGATATATAGAGGCGTAGAGCACGGTTTGCTAGTGTCAACCACCTTGCATGGTTTAGTCGCCCAGGTGTTCTAGAATTAAATCTATCTGGTACAACACCTGTCCTCACCGCATTAACAATTTCGAAAAAGTACAGTTGATCACTGCTTAACAACTGCTTATTGCATATAATAGGTTCACCAACAATTATGGCAAAGCTGACTATGGGTTTTTGAACAGACATTGAAATAGACTTGCCAATTGGTCCATTAAATGAATGGGGTCCAGTTGTTGCACCATCTAAGGAGTGAAAAAGATGTCGCAAAGGAAGCTCGTTCAGATGTAAAAGACAAATGAACCAGTGCAGTGGTCGACCAAGTTCAATTTCCATTCTGCGTATAACTCCATTGTTTAAACCAGTATTAACGTTAGTTGAATCAGAACCAATACAAACAAGGTTCGTGCAGTCAACAGTATCAATTATTGAATCTGCAATGGATTTGGCTGATCCACTTGTTGGCGTACAATGATCAACATACTTTGAATTTGGCTCTGATAAAATGGAAATGTGTTCCTCAGAAATCACAGTCTGCCTATCCCCTCAAGTTTTAAAGTCTGATCTATCCTTCCATCAAAATACAATTCAGTAATTCTACAATCAGCATTTTTACAGGAAGTTCTCAGTAGTTTTTGTTCTCTGCGAATTTTATTCCGATCCACTGGCCCCATATGTTCTATACCAAAATCAACCAGAGTTGCTGATACAATCGCGGCAACTGCTCTATCTGATATGCCAAAACCATCTACTTGTAGAGCAATATTTTTTAAACGACGGTTTTTCAGACGAGTAGATGTGACTTATCGACATCTGATACGGAAGGGGAATAAGTTTCGGTGTCAGAATTGTTGTCTGCTTCATTATCTGATTCATTATCAGATGCTTCAACGACTCTGGCACACTTAACTGCAGTCTCTTTCTTTGATAATGAAACAGATTTTCATTTTAAACGCCTCTCAGCACGTGCGGATTCCTTATTGTTGATTCCAGCCATTCTGCCAACACGTATAGTGAGTTGATCAGTTAGGAAGTCATGCTCAATTGCTGGCACCTTCAGAACCATTGGACAGCAACAAGATGAAAGTTCTTTGCATTTACATGAACAAATGTTAAACAATGTGTCAAGATCTTTTTATATTTTATCTTGTTTGACTGTTGCGGACTTTGATCGAATCACTTTCTGAACATCGCCTATGTACTTCTCCAGCTGTAATTCTATGCCTCGAAGACTTATAGTAGGAACTGATGCTTTAATCCATATCTGAGAAAGTTTCTCTGCTAGTCTCTTACAAACAGACCGTAGTGGTTCAGTTTCATAATTTTTCTCAGACAAGTATGCTTTGCCTACTTGCTTGTGGGTTGGCAAGCAAAAATTGGGTAATTCACGACCTTCTCCAAAAAGTATATGACGATTCTTTGAAGCTTTAGATCTTTAAATCATTATTATTTTACAATTTTATAACATATCAGAATTTCAGTTAATTTCTAAAAATACAAGATGAGACAGATAAATTCTGCAATCAGTTGATAAAAGCAGAAATTAATAAACAATCATATAAAAATAGAATAATATAATAATAATAATATAATAATATAAAGTTATAATAGCGTTGGAGTTAATCATATTATTAGGGTTAATTTAGTTAGGTAGGTATAGGTTTGGTTCAATTTCATAACCTTGGGATTATATCTAGTATTAGGGTTAAATGCATGTTTCAGTTAATGCATGCAATTAAAGTAAATATACTTAGCATATAAAACCTTAAAACTTAAAAATGCAAAGTATAATCAATTCTTTGGAAATATTTTTTTTGTAAATATTAAACAACACTATATCACGCCACTTTTCACAAATTCTAAAAAAAATTAATTTTTAAGATCCGGCCTTATATATATATATATATATATATATATATATATATATATATATATATATATATATATATATATATATATATATATATATATATATATAT